TGTTTCTTGGGTGTGACCAGCATCAACGTCGCGATTATGTATTTGTACTTGTATCCCCTGTTGCTCAATAATCGACCTTGCGAATGATGTTTCTGTTTGTGCGAGCTCGTCATCAACAGCATGCTCTTGTACTTGTGCATATCGTATTCCGTGTAGAGGGCATCGTCGGGCATTCTCTTGAAAATCAACTCGTAAAGACCGGGGGTACCAGCGTATCGTACGCCGTCAATAATTATGTTGTCCGCGTCATCCACGTCGAAACGTTTATTGCCAAACATCAATCCATCCTTGTGTAGGTAAACGCCATACACATGATCTAAACCGCTCTCTTTATCTTGCTCCCCGCAGGACAGCCTCGACGTACTTTTGACCCAGCGGACCCAAGTTGGCTCGTAACGCCTCTCGCCCTTCCGACGTTTGCAGCTGATTTTGAACCTTCGTCGCTAGCGAGTCTTCCGTCGTTTCGAAAACGTTCTCCAATGACTCTATCGTCGGTACGATTTTGGCACATGGGGTGGAAGTTATCGGTTCGCGCGATCGATCATTGGATTTATGCAGAGTTGCGGAAGGGTCAAACGTCTCGCTCGCTTTTTCTCCCTCCTTTTGTTCCCCCTCCTCCTTCCTCTCACGTTTAGGGGCAGACGCTGCATCTTCGTCGCGCGACTCTCTCTTTGTCGAGCGCTCGCCGGGATTGTCGGCAAAAAGTCGCAACGGCTCGATAAGAAGTTTAAAATGTCTATCCAACGCGATGCCCTCCTCGATTCTACCGGTCTTCAGAGCGCGATGTTTCTTGCGGATCGACTCGCTCGTCTTCTCGATCTCCCTCTCGATTTTTTCGCGCTCGCGCACATCTGCCATGATTATCTCTGGTAAGTATCGATGACGACTTATTACGTTACGGTATCGCGAACTCGTTAAATCCGCGTTAAATTATTTAAAGTACAGTGGCGGATGCCTCACGTTGCGTTAAACGAGATCAATAAATTATCAATGCTGCGAACATTGGAAAGCGGTCGTTATCTGAGCATGAGTTTTCGCTCGTGGGATTTGTACGAGTATCCTCTGCTACAGAATACAAAGCATTCATGGGCCGTCAAAACGGTGACTCAGCTTGAGAAACCGCGATACGTTATCTTTGCTCTGCAGACTGGTCGAAAAAATGTCATGTCACAAAATGGTAGCGTGTTCGACGATTGTAATTTGAGTAACGTGAAACTTTATTTAAATTCAACGTTTTATCCGTATAACGATTTAAATCTGGATTTTGGCAAAAAGAGATACGCCGTCCTGTTTGATATCTACGCCCGTTTTCGTAGAGTATTATGGAAACGATTGCTTCGAAACGGTACTCAACGTCCTCTCATTTACCGAGGAAGGACCTTTTGTAGTCATTGATTGTTCGCGACAAAACAAATCCGTCAAGGGTGCCACTGTGGACGTGCGCATAGAATTTGACTGCAAGGAGAATGTACCTGCAAATACTACAGCCTATTGTCTCATCATACACGATCGCGTGGTTCAGTACAATCCGTTGACCAACGTTGTGCGTAAAATCACCTAAGTGCATTCTCCGACACGCTATAAAATATACGATTCATCGAAATCGATCGCAGTCTAGAAAAATCGTTCACCATGACCGTACCAACGTTTGTGGATCTGCAAGGATTTATCGTTGGAAAGAAATTTATCGTCAAAAAAGTGGCGGTGTTGAGAAAAGGAGCCATTCTCTCTCATTACACTTTTACGTGTCCTATGCCATGGAGTTTCTTGACAAAATCAGAAAAGTATTGCGCTTCCTGGCTGAGTGCTTATCACTATGGATTGCAATGGTAAGACGGGATGATCCCGTACACCATGGTGAAACGCCTGATTACAATGGCTGTAATTGGTGTGGAAGAGAATGATGACAATAAGGCTCTCATATACGTTAAAGGACGTGAAAAACGCGAATGGCTGGCTGATGTACTCGATAACGACAACTTGACCATTGAGACCTTGGATGCTGATTACAAAGATATAGATTCTTTACATAATCTAGATGTTACCAACACTATGCGATGTGGAAAACATATTAAGAATTGTGCGTTACAAAATGTATTTAAAATACATAACTGGTGGTCACAACGCCAAAAGAAAATGTATCAAGTTTAAAGAATAAAATATGAGATTTTTTTTTTAAACGTTTTAGATTTCTTTTCCTTCCCCTTCCTTTTAATATATAAACGTATGTATAAACGTATGTATTAACGTATGTATAAACGTATGTACGTGTAAACGTATGTAAAAACGTACGTATAAACGTATGTATAAACGTATGTACGTATAAACGTATGTAAAAACGTACGTATAAACGTATGTACGTATAAACGTATGTATGTATGTATGTATGTATGTATAAACGTATGTATAAACATATGTATGTATGAACGTACGTATAAACATATGTATAAACGTATGTAAAAACGTATGTATGAACGTATGTATAAACGTATGTATAAACGTATGTATAAACGCATGTATGAACGTACGTATAAACGTATGTAAAAAAACGTATATATAAACGTATATATGTATGTATGTATGTATGTATGTATGTATGTATAAACGTATGTATGTATGAACGTACGTATAAACGTATGTAAAAAACGTATGTATAAACGTATGTATAAACGTCTGTATAAACGTATGTATGTACAAACGTATGTATGAACATATGTATAAACGTATGTATGTATGTATGCATGTATGTACGGTATGCATGTATGTATAAACGTATGTATGTATGTATAAACGTGTTGCGACACGTTTGAAATTCTTGGAAAGTGGGGGACGGCCTGCCCCTTCTTCGATTTTAGAAGGAACACCAAATACGAAGTATCACAATTTACGAGAATGCGATCAGTCTTACGATACCCGCTTGTACGAAATGTCCAACAGCAGCAGCAGCAGCAGCAACAGCAATGTACTCCGCTGTAGGAAGCAACACACGAACGAAATTATTACGTTTCACTTCAGAATAATGATGAAACTCCATCATTTACGAAAAGATGTGCCAAGTAAGTTTAAGAATCCTCCATTTTTTAATACTTTTTCAAATTAA